AATTTAGGATAAGAATACGAATATGTTCTTGCATGAGGCCCAATGTGCGAATCACTGTGCAAATGTTTTAGTAACAAACTGCAAACCACTGAAACTTGCCTAAATACATGCAAATTAGTTATGACCAGTTTCTGTGTCTGTACATCTTTTATTTTGTATTAACATTACTTTAAATTCAGCCGAACTTACAATTACTTAAGTCACCCGGTCCAACTGAAACACCCCTACCAAAGAGTCCTCAGAATAAAATTGAAGAAATTTTTGTGGTTTGTTTACTTACTGATTTTTAAAAGAACCACACATTCTGTAGATTTTCTTAGGTGAACCATAATATATTTTTATAAACTATTGTGTGAATATTTTTGTGATTAAAATGATGATTTTTATATACAGACTGGTCTGGATGGCTAGACGATAAATGGTCACTCAGAGCAGGAAGTACATATATGTATTTACATGACTGAAAACATTTACAACACATATAAAACCAATTGAATTCAAAGTGGAATTAAAACACAAGTTGAACAGGAAGAATGTCTGAAGACTTGACCCCTGAGTGCCCCCAAGTGATGCAACGGCTGTAGACAGGGTCAGGTGTTGAAGGAGTTGTTAAATTTGCTGAAAGCAGACGTGAGCAGTAAATCTGTCTTTCAATCCTGTTCTCTGTGTGCTTGTATGATTCTCTTTAAATACAATCATTCAAATATTGGTGAACTTTTTGTTTGGTTGTGAACACGTAATGAAGTAACTGAACACGCATATTTCTTTCAAAATGATTTATTGTAATTAAGAATACGTTCGCAATAAAATATTGTTGATGCCAAAATGTTTTGATATTTGTTCTTAAATATCTKTTATATTTTTTGTGTGTGTTTGTTTTTGACTTCAGCAATTTTTCATCCCTGTTTGAATTATAATGTCGACGTGGTGTTGTGAGCAAAAACGTTTGTGATTTTTGGTGAACAAAAGAGCGATGAAAATCCTAAAAGTACATCCTGGCTTTTAAAGAGGCTTTTGAATTTGTCAAAGTGAAGGCTTTTCAGATGTCCTCGCAACCTCTTAAGGGCTAAAATTCAAATTGGTCCTCACAAAGAGTGAACCACATGCAAACACTTTTTTTACTGTTAAAATAAAGTAGAAAGCAATTAGAGTTTAACTCTTGCCACCATATCCCAGATGTCATTTTTCTTTGGGAGGGGGCTTCCATGTGAAATAGCATTGCGAGCAAACCCCGATGCGGCCCTGCACATTAATGCTGCCTCTGCTCTGGGCTCATCTATTTTAATACTGTCAGAAGGCTGATTGCTCAGGATGAACATGCAGACAGGGTGAAAAGAACATCGGCTAGCAATTTGTCACTTTCTCACTCCTTTATTTTGCGAGTTAAAAGAGATGACGTGTAGAAGAAGCCGGCGTTTGGCTGCAGAGCACTTACAGAAGGATAGTCAGATAAAAGAAATGCAACGAAGCAAAGACGATGCTGTGCTGCTTAATATTGAAATCACTGCTTCATTAACTTTGTGAAAGTTTGGTGAAAAATAACTCTCAACTCTCTTAGAAAAAAAATACAGTGAAGGAAAAAAATGGTGATAGAACAAGAGCCAGTGCTTAAATTCTGTCTGAGTAAAATCTAAAAAAGTTTGAACTTTTGCGTGAAATCTCCAGATATTAGAAAAAGCATGAAGAGCAATCTGAATGCCAAACAGTCTTAATCTAACTGGACGGATAGAGCAAAATATAAAGATTATTTTTTAACAAATGGAAAAAAAAGACAGACCTGAGC